TTGAAAGATGCTGAAAAGCAGCAATGGACAAAATAGCCAATTCCTACTAGGGTGTGATTTTTGCAAAATGATACCAGTCCACTAATTTCCAAATCTATTCTTCTACATCAGTGGAGCCTGATCAACTAGTCAACCGTGGAGCCTCTGACAGTCTATCTCAGTCTCGGGGGGCTGAGATCAACTATCAGAGGTTCCGAGATTGGGAGTGGCAGGATGTGTGGGTGGAGCGTCCAGGACAGAGTCCAGGAGCAGTGGAATGCATATGGCTGGGCTGAGCTGTGCCCCTGCCACCGGGGCTGGGCCGGGTGTGTGAGGCAATCCCCCTCCGCACCCTGCCATCCTGTGGTGAGGGAGGAAATGGGACAGAGGCAGGGGTGAGTGGGGTCTTGGCTGGGCTGGAGCACGGTCAGAGCCAAGGTGGCTCGTCCAAGGGCACGGTGGGGGGGGGGGAGGCCTCCTGTATTCCATGCACCCTGGCAGAGGCCTGGGGGCCACGTACCGTTTCCATTTGTGCATGGGGCAGACGGCGGCCGCTGAACACTGGAATTTACACCCTGAGCCCCACACACAGAACGGGGGGACGCATGCCCCCCCACACACCTGGATGAGCCACTTGGGCTCTGACCCTCCCCCAGCTGGGCCTGGCCTAGCCAGGGCGCCACTCACCCATTGGCAGGGGGCGAGGGGGCATTGGGGGCAGAAGTGGGGGGCCAACAGGGCACAGCCCCCTGACACGCGGGGCAGCAGTAGGGCCACAGGCTTCCAGCAGTGGCTGCAGCAGGGTTGGTGAGGGGTGTGCTCGCAGCGGGGGTGGGGTTGGGGGGTAGATGAGAAATGAAGCATGGGCTGGCGCTGTACAGCAGAGGCGGGCACAAGCTGGAGCCACGAGCGCCTTGTCTGGGAGGTGAGGGGAAGGCAGAGACACGCAACGCAGGAGGGCATGTGGGGGGGGCACATGCCCCAGATCTGCACATGGGGCGGGGCAGGGCTGGGGCAGCACCAGGCTCTCCAGCTGCATAGCTCTCAGCCCACCCCGCCCCATGTACAGATCATACCCCCCATGCCCTCCCGAACTGCGTGCTCCCCACCCTCCCCCAAGACAAGACACTTGCAGCTCTGCCCTGCACCCACCCAGCTGTGCAGGGCCTGCCCCTGCTCCACTCCCTCACTCTTCATCATGGGGGGCGGCAGATCAAGGCAGCCCATTTGGGAGGGGGGTAGGGCTCCTCACCACTGTGTACACCCCCGGGAGAGGCAGAGGGGTTATTGCCCCCCAGATTTGTGCCCAGGGAGAGGGTGGACTGCCCACTGTGGACTCGAAATCAGGGGCTGCACTGACCTCTTCACAGCGCATGGGGAGGGGCCGAGCTGGGGCCGCACTCAGGGTCAGCAGGGGTGGGGAAGGCAGTGGTGGCACTGGGAGGGGTGGCTACAGGAGGGCTATGGGGAATTTTGGGGTGGCTCTAGCTCATCCTGTAGCCACCCCTCCCAGCACATCCACCACTTCTGAGTGCCACCCCACCCAGGATGCATATCAGTTATCAGATCGGTATCTACCAATATGGCTGGTTAATAATTGGCCATTGGTTCGGCACACCCCTAAATTGACTGAGTTGGACTTACATTTCATTGGCTAAGGGACTCAACACAACACTGCCTTAAGAGATGTCCACTGCATATACACTTGCTGAGCGATCAGCATTTAGAAATAATCATTCTAAAGAAGAAATACCTCTCTGATTAGAGCCCTAAGCTTACTCTTAGCCCTCAGAAAACTAAGACTCTCAGTCTCATTATTATCATTTAAAGCAGTACAAAGGAACCAGGTCTGGATCTGAAACTGAAAAAAAAATTAAGAAATAATGTTGAATGTACAAGTTATTTTAAAGGCCCCTCTCCAGCATTTTTAAATCTAAATTCAATCAAAATCTAACCTTCAATAGGTTGAGAAATTTGCTGATTGACGATCCTTCTCCGTTTTCCTTAGTAGCAGAAACCTGCTGACTTGAGTATTCTCACATTGAAAATAAGGCCTATTTCCTCTCTCGTATTCGGTCCCTAGCAGTCTTTTCTTCCTGCAGATACAAAAGTGATGAAAGTAATGTGAGAAGACATAAATGAACTCAAGCTGCGCACCCTGCTGCATAGACATGTGTTGTTAGAGTGTAGTAGTCTGAGCAATGCCTCCACTTCCACTCCAGCTGCCCAACAGAAGCAGCGTTAACTCTAACCCTTAGGACAGAGTAGAAGAGTTACAGAACATGATGGCAAGAAGCCAAGAGACAGTTGGTTTCAGAGATACGGCAGAGCTGTGGTAAACAGTGCATCACACTTAAGCCTTGTCTACACTTAACAGTTTTAACAGGTTAGTTATTTCAAATAGGGGTATGATTTCTATTACAATCAAAATAATTATGCATCATAAAGGCTATCACCCTTACCAGTACAGTTATTCCTCTCCATGAATACAAAGAGCTATAGCAGCACTTTCATACCAGTATAAGTGGGGTTCTTTAATATGGGCCCAGGCAAACGCAGCTTTTTAAGCACTACGTTGACATGCAGAGCCAACCTGTAAAACACCATGCTTAAACTAAGTATGGTCATCAACACACTTCCATTAGGGCTCCTGTTCTCAGTACCATCAGCAGACCTGGAAGGGCGGCATCAACTGTGGGGAATTTTGGAGAAACAAGGCCTTGGCTACATACACATTTTATAGCAATGTGACTACATGAATTCAAGACATGATTTGCTACCAAAATACTTAAGTAGGTACAAACCCTAATAAAGATACAGTTACACTGGCATGAAGATGCCATGTAGCAGTACAACCTCTCTCTTTGTTTAGGGCAGCAACTATGCCATTATAGTTGATATTAATAGAGCTGTGGTAACACTAACACACATCACTATAACAGTAGTGTTAAAGCAGTGTATTTTTGTGCACGGGCAAAACCTATGCCAATACTGCTATTCCTTTCCCGCTGCGGGAACAGCTGTTCCAATATATCTCATTAGGATGGTAGTAAAGCACTGGAACAGGCTGCCCAGAGACGTTGTCGACTCTCCATCCTTGGAGATTTTTTAAGACCCAGCTAGACAAAGCCTTGGCTGGGATAATTTGTTGGGGACAGTCCTGCTTTAAGCAGGGGGTTGGCCTACATCAGTGTTTTTCAACCTTTCGGTTGCAATCCAAAAGTGGGTTGCAAGAATATATGAAAGGGTCACAAACAAGCTCTAAAAAACAGATCAACAAACTTTAAAAATGCATTCCCCTTTAAAGGAGAAACATGTGGCAAACCACAGGTTTCCCCTTGCAGGCTGGCAGAGTTTCAGCCTGCAAGGGGGTGCTTGGGGCTGGGGGGGAAGCGGGAGGAGGGAGAGCAGGCAGAGGGTGCCATGTGCACATGCTTGTGCATGCACACACACAGCAGCCAGGCAGCATGGAGAGCAGCTCCTGCAGCTCCCCGCAGGCAAGCCTATGGGGCAGAGGAGTGAGGAGTGGGGGGCAAAGATGATGCATGAGGGAGACCGTGGGGGGGGGGCACAAGTGACACTGCCTGCCACCCCACCTCTTCTCCAGGGTAGAGCCATGCCTTGAAAGGAGAAGTGGTGGCACCTGGGCTATGGCGGTAGGGTAGAGATTTTACAAATGGGTCCTGGCAGTGTCGACAGCGCCTTTTCATGGGGGGTGCACATGCACCTCCTATGCATTGCCAGTGCCCCCTGAGGTCCTTCCCACCCTTAGCTTCTATGGCCACCTCCAGACGAGCATGGACATTTGGTTCCCTGGGGACAAGAAGCAGTGGCACACCTTGTACTGTGGCTACTTGTCCCCAGGGAACGCCTGTGCCACCTGCCCACTGGCGAGCAGCAGGTTACCCTGAGTGGCATAGGGGAGTCTGGTGCCAGCAACTGTGCTGTCCCCAGCAGCCTTACCTGGGGTCCTGGGCACTCCTGCAGCTTGGAGCCTAGCTAGCCAGGCTCCAGCTTTGGGTGGCATGCGCTACCACCAAATGTGCCTCCCCGCTTTTTTTCTGCGTGGGGTTTTTTGAGCCTAGGATCTCCCGGGGTCAAAAAGCACCCGCGCACTGCAAGGTAACAACGTGGGAAATGCCTGAATGTGCAGCGTGTGGCACGGCAGACGTGTCTGCAGCGCCACGTCCCACCCCTCCGCGCTCATCTGGACGCGGCCTATGATTCTATACGTATAACTGTGGCCACAATAGAGAGGACTGTACAACTTCAGCTCTAATTAAATTACCCCCAGGATTTAGGGTGGGAGCAACTACACAGTAGAGAGGAGGCCCCAGACCCATAGGAAACAGAGCTCGTGGCTGGGAGAGGAGCTCAGCTCAACTTCCTAGCAGGCTCGGGGGAAACGCTCAGCTCTTGAAGCCTGGCGAGGCCCGCGGAGGCTGTCTGAGCTCTGGGGCCGCTGGTGATCCAACCCAAACCGGCCACGAGAACCTGGGATCCCGGAGCAAAGCAAGCAGCTGGGACCGGGGGAAGGATGCGGAGAAGAGAGGAGAGCGGGGAGCAAAGGCAAACGGGATTTTCCTCCTACAACTCAGCTGGGGAGGGAAGAAGGCCCCGCTCCCCAGTCTCCCCACGCCCCGCCAGAGAAGATCGCAGTGCCCATCCTACCCGGAGTCTCCCCCAAGCCTCGAGAGCAAAACCCCGCGAGCCCGGCGCCGCTCAGCCCGGAGACAAGTGAACGGGGCACCGGCTCCGGAACGGGAAGCGGGAGGGAGGAGCGTGGGAGCGGAAGCCTTCCCTCCCCTCGGCTTCGCGGGGCCGCCCATGGGGCAGGGATCCCATCGCTAGCGGCCCCGGCTCGGTCCCCGTGGCAGGGGGCGCTCCTGCTTGACTGCAGTGGCCGCATAGCTTGGTAGCTGCTTGGCCCGGAACGCTACGGTGCCCGGCGTTCTGGCCCCGGAACGCTGCGGTGCCCGGCGTTCTGCCCGCGGAACGTTGCGGCGTTAGGGGCTGGGAACGTCGGCGCCAGCTGGGTCTCGGCCCAGCCGTGATGAGCGGCGCTGGGGCTCCGGGGGATCGGGGCCGCCTCCGGGCCTACCCCGCGCTGCCTGTCTGGGTCGTGGAGGATCATCACGATGTAAGTGCGTGGGGCTGCGGGAGAAGGTCCCGGGCTGATGAGGTGGGCAGAGTCCCCTTCGGGTGCTTCCAGCCTCTCAGGCCGCTGAAGGAAGGGATCGCAGAGAAGAGGCAGGCGGTGTTGCTAGGGTGATGATAATTATCGTATTTGTATGATCATTTCCACACTTTTAGTACGATCACTAAGATGCTCCAAATGTACGGTAGCTAATTGACGCAAAACCCAAGTCACTCTCAGAGAGGCTTAGCTGACTTTAGGTTTGCTCAGGGGTGACTGGTGCCTCCTGAATCGGGGGCGGAGGGGCACAATTTGTGGCAGGCCAGAACTACTCCTATACTTCTGTGCTGCAGCTTAGTGGCTCCCCCCACCCACGTGCCCCTGGCCCGCACAGCAAAAAACTGCCCCATCTTGGGCGGTGCCAAGCCAGAGGCTAATCTCGGGTAGGGAGGGGGGGATGTACCCCCCTACCAGTGATCTGTGGGTTTGTTCAGTTGGTTGGTTTTAATGTATTTCACATTCCAGGGCAGTTTAGCCAAATCATATTGTTTGAGCCAAACTTGATCGTTCCAAACCCCATGTATGGTGCTACAGCCAGCGAGTATCCTCCACCCCAGACCCATTCCCCTGGGACTTAAGATGGCCACGAATCCATTGGCGGGCATCGTACATGCAGGCCCAACCCTGAAAGTCTTGGAGCTCGGATGCCTCCAGACAATACAGGCAAACATCTTCCATCCCAGACTTCAGTTTTGGACTTAAGATATTCCCTACGTTTTATCTTAGCCCCTTATAGGTTTGCTGCCAGCACTTTCTTATGATGGCTTCCCTCAAAATAAAGAAATGCTCCAACTTTGATGACCCGGTTCTCACTCACTCACTGGCATACTACAGAGAGCAATATAAAGTAAATAAGAAAAAGACTAATTTGCATATTTATTTGTGTATTTTTCAGTGTATAATAGTTTTTCAGCAAATATGCTGATTTTGAGCTGCCAATAAAATAATTTCATATTTAAGACCTGGTGACGCCACCTCAGGCAGGAAAGCTTCAAAGACCACTCAACGCCCGGGAGTGAAATAGTGTCTGGCTTATGCTGTAGGAGCTGCTGACTCAGCCTAGAACAGAGGTGGAGGCTCCTTTAGTCCCATCAGAGTGCGTGAATGGACAAGTGGGCATCATAGCAAGTTCACAGCGTGATCCTAATGGTAATTCAAGCTCCTCTGAGTGAACTTCAGTGGCGACATAAAACCTCGGTTGCTCAGGCACATTGGAGAAGGGGTGCTGCACCTCGGCTTGCTCTTCTGATCCATTCAGTGTAATCAGTTTACAGCGAGCAGGAGCGTGGCATAGAATCATAGGAAATTAGGGTTGGAAGGGACGTCAGGAGGTCATTTATTGCAACCCCCTGCTTAAAGCAGTGCCATCCCCAACTAGATCATCCCAGCCAAAGCTTTGCTGGGTCTTAAAACAAGCCTCCAAGGATGGAGATTCCACGACCTCTCTGAGTAGAGACCCGTCATGTAGACCACCTTAAAATGACCTATCATGACTAGGATCCCTAGGGCAGCGATTCCCAAACTGGGTTGCAACATCAGCAGACAGAGTCGCAGGCGTGAGGGGGTTGTGGGTTGGGAGTGAGGGGCCATGCTGAAGCAATGGGATCACACTGGGGAAATGGGGCCATAAATGGGGCTATGCTGAGGAAAAGTTTGGGAAGCAGTGCCCTAGGGACACGTCACTGGTGCACCCACGTAAGTCAAAAAACATCTGAAGAGGGCAGAGTATTTGTGCTCCCTGGGTAGCTTCCACCATAGGTGCTGTAAAAGTGCCTCGCCAGGAGCAAATAGTGCCTGTGGGCATCTGTACACATGCTCTGGGATGGAAGGGGGGGGCGCTCGCTCTGTGAGCCGCTCTAGTGAAAGCGCCCTCAGCATTGCATGTATTCAGCACCCCACACTTCAGAATGGTGGCGGGAGTGCTTAAACTCAAGCTTGTTTGACAAGTTTTAGTTCAGGTGCCCCCTCTGCCATTTTAAAGTGGGGGGATGCTGAATACACGTGATGCAGACGCGCTGCAGCGTATTAATTAACATGATCAATTGAGTCTGCTCTATGTGCTAATTAACACGTCGGAGCAGGCATTTGGCAGATGTGTAGGTGCCCTGCTTGATTAGCCTGGTAGTTGGGCTGAGAAGCAGATGCAACTTACCTTACTGTCATTTACACTGCTTTAGTTTTACCCCTAATATTTCCAGGCTTAACTCCACACTTCTGATCTTAGAAGAGACGAGAAGGCTGAGGGGGGATCTAGTGGCCTGTTACAAACTAGTCAGGGGGAACCAGCAGGCATTGGAGGAGTCCCTATCTCACTGCCAGGAGTGCTTAGAAATAACAGTCACAAGCTGGCAGAGGGTAGATTCAGGCTAGACATCAGTGGGCACTACTTCACTGTCAGGGCGGCTAGGATCTGAAACCAGCTTCCAAGCGAAGTGGTGCTGGCTCCTACCCTGGGGGTCTTCAAGAGGAGGCTGGATGAACACCTTGCTGGGGTCGTTTGGCCCCAGTACTCTTTCCTGTCATGGCAGGGGGTCGGACTCGATGATCTGCTCAGGTCCCTTCCGACCCTAGAAACTATGCAACTATGAAAGGTCTGTTACACACCATGTGTCTGCTCCTTGTGTAAAGAAGTTTAAATGTATTTTATGGGTCCAGACTCTCTGCTTTGCTACTCTTTGCTACTGCATGTGAACTGAAGCATGGGTGCATTGCTCTCTGCCTCCCTCCCCCC